TTGATTTGACAATGATTTAATTTCAATAGAAAATAAAATATGTATTGGTAGAATATATTACCTTTTAAAAACCCATAAATCACAAATCGAAATCATTAAAAGTTTACAGTATATTTGCATATAAAATCAAGACAAAATAGTTTTTTTCTACTTTTTTGTAAGAATGTTTTTTTGCAGTCTGACTTTTCTCCTGATGATTTCCATTGCCAAGATGTTGACGGTAAATCACATCCAGCTTTCCACTATCTCAGTCAGCATGCAGTCATAAGAAACGAGCGAAAATGTATAGCAAAAGTCAAAGAAGTAGGATGTTGGATGTGGAATGTTGCCGTAAGTGTGTGTAATTCATAGCGGATTTGCTTGCAGAGGGGAATTATTCATGCGCACTTGATTGTGCACACAACAATGGATCTGATCGTTATCACTGTCTCGTCAACATCATCATAAACTGCTCATGGAAGGTCAAGAAATATTCCCTTGGCAACGAGATAATCCAATGACAAGTTAGGGAACCCTCATTGCAATTTAGTCATAACACCTTAATAACTTACTTTAATAACTACTTTATATTCTATTTAAATATTCTCTCGTTGTCTAACACCAAACACCTAAACGTATCCTCCAGGCTCTAATCTCGAACAAACAACAATGAAAATAAGTAAAACGAAAATACAACAAATAAATTTGTCGTGCAGCGGTGCAAGAAGGCAAAAGCTGCCTTGAATTGCACTACGAATCACTCTAGCGTGCTATCAATTACTGTGGCAAGTGTTGCACGTGCCACCGACACCGATCCGGTCGGGAGTCCTTCCCAGTCCCTCCGCCACCCATGGCACCTTGGAGGTCCTTGGTTGGAGGTTCCTCCTCCCAGCCAGGACAGCTTGCTCATCTCATTGTGTTCCTTGGCATTTGCTCGCCTGGCTTTCTATTCCAATTTTTTGTTCTTTTTTATACCCAGTAGTAGGGGATTAAAAGGGTGTGTTGTATAAGGTTGGGCAAATTGTGAAGATTATCTACTTATTAAAATCAAAAAGTAAAAGAACAAGCAGATTAATTATTGAATCAAAGAATATGAAAAATAAACATAGCACGATAAAAAATAACAAGAATTAAAAAGAAGTTCTATTATATGTCAATTATACGACTTTTCTTTTTATTTCACTTGAATTAACTTTAAACGTCGGATTGCGATATAGTAATTTTTATTTATTGGGTATCTTAAAGTCGACTCACTGAAGGACTACTTCCTTTTGGTCTCCTTTTCTAATTTCTTGTCGCACTTCGGTCGTTGTCTTGGCTGCTCTAGTCCAGCGTTCCGTAAGTGGCATGAACATCGCTGCACTTTCTTGACAATTCTCAGCTTTTTTCTGCTGATGTTCCCTGCTTTTTGAGTGCTTTCAATTGTTGCACAATTTTTTAATTTGCTGCGTGGCCAAAGAAATGAAAGAGTTGCCGTCGCACAGGGAATTTTAATCTAAAGTGGGTGGCACACGGAATTGTGAAATGTTAAACGTTACTGACTTTTTGCTTCGCTTTTTTATTTTTGTTTGGCTTGCAGAGATTATTACACTTCAAATCGAATTGGGAGGTACAAAATCCGCATTAGGTAGCAAATCCCAAAAATTTGTACTTTAATATATGCGTTTAATTTACCGCAAATAAACACACAATTCTCACATATATTGGCAGAACTTGAATGCCAAAACAACGTCATGATAATTCAGTTGGCCACAAAACAAAACAAACTTCACATGTCGTTTGTGTACACGTCCTACATTCGATTTGTAAGGCTTTTGAGTAAATTGCTATTTAATTTCATGCAATTTGCCGTAAGTTTGAAAGCCTAAATCGTATTGAAGCATAATGTCCTTAGGTCTACTAATAAGCTTAATCTCGAATGCTGGTGCTCTTATAATTCAGCCTACGACCAACATCAAAGGTTGCTTGACAATTTAATTTAACAAAGTTTAAATACCCTTAAGGCTTAGTTTGTTACTAATAGAAAAGAAAATGTTTTACTACATCCGAAAACGAAATGAATGACAATGAAAATCTTACTGGTTTAAAGCATAACCTTTTCTATTCAAGGTATTTTTTCTTGGGAAATAAAACTAGATGACAAGCAAAGTCTCGTAGCAAACTAGCCCATTCGTGGCACTCTTTTCATATTAAATACCAAAATGTAATAAGCATTAAATTTCGTTGCAACCTGCAGCTGCAAGGAGAGAATACGAAAGATGACATCCAGTTGCAATTACAATGTAATTACAAGCGACAGACGTAGAACGTTTTAAATTTTGTATGTGCCGGGCAAATGTCCCCGAAAAGGATTAGGGAGCATGAGGATGCGTTCCATTTAAGCAGCAGCTTATGCCATAAACATACGATATGAGCTGGCTCTCAATGTCTGCCATAAAATTACGCTTAAAGTGTGGCACGTAATTGCCCGTTCCCCGTCTGTTCTCCTTATCCCTTCTCTAATTGCCACAAGTGCTCGTCTTTTGTATGATTTTAATTAGAATTAGGGTACTAAGCTGGTGTTTTGATTTCTTAAGCGCACTCAACATGTGCTCGGTAAATACAAACTTAACCGGGCTCTTAGCCAACGCAGATATCCGGCTATGTTTGGCAATCAAAACTTGGTAGTAACTGTAAATTAATTTCCTGGTTGGCTAATGCAGCAATTTCAGTTTCCAGTCTCAATTATCGCAAGCTTGCTGCAATGCATAAATTTCGAAAGCAAACCGTCCGAAGCCCGAAATCAATGATTAATTTTGTGTGGTGTGCAGACCAATATTAGTTGGCATTCGGGGACCATAAGTCTATCGGATGACTGTGGCAAATGAGTTAATTTATTAAGAACTTCCCTACGAAACTCCAGCTGATAATATAGAAGCTTCTTTAAGCTGATACTTACATCCCCTTAAAGAGACTCCCAATCAAGACGCTGCCAAAAGAACAAGAAACTCATACTGATGTAGCAATTGATAAAAACACGGCTTACAGAACGCCCAGATCATTAAAAAACAGAATGTGTGACATTTTGTCAGGCATAATAATAAAATTACAATTGCAGCTCGGCGACAAACAATCGGGGCAAAATGTGCCAAATCAGCGCGAAAAAAACTGTGGGGCGTCGTCCCTCTTAAGGAAATGTCAAATCAAATTTATTGACTTTCATTGTTCGCCGGAATGAAGGCAGTGACTCCTGCTGGAAGCCCGGGCTCATTGAAATGTGAAAAGCCAATGACAGGGGACGCAGGGCTAACAATGTGCACCTTTTTTATGTCGCTGGATCCCGTCTGGGATTCTACTTGTGGCACTTGTCGATTTGTCCTGCACTTTTTCCCATTCCGAATCCGTGTTTGTGCGCGATTAAAGCGGCGCTTAGCACGTTTGAATGCCTTCCAGCCGACGTTTCTGATTCTCTGAGACAATCAGCAGAGCTTGCTTCTCATTCCCCATTTTTTGTCACACTGAAAAATAAGTAAAAAAAAAACAGAAAGCGTTAAATCTCAATTTGTTATTCGCAGTGTTCAAATGGGTTATAAAATACGTACAAATAATTAAATTCTTAAAAGAATATAGTGTGCTAGCAAAATTTATAAAACAAGTTACGTAGTTAAATATTAAAATATTTAAATTTTACTTGGAGTGTTTTCTCTCTGTATATTCTCCCGTGATTTTCAACAACTCCGCACAATGCCTGCTAGCAGGCTATAAAAATCATATGCTTCCTTTCATTGCAAGGGGTTGGCTTTAGTTTTTTTGCAGCTTCGTCTATAGCTGACTTTCTTTGTGCCCAGCTAAGTTTGACAATTATTTGCATTGTTCAGTGAAGTCGTTTGTTCAACATGCACATGAATCGGTAACTACAACATAAGTGAGTCCCTGGTTATGGGCAAGTTGGGTTTGTTAGGTTCAACTCTGTTCTATTGTGCACTGTCCATTGAGTTTGTCTGATGGAAGGAATGGAGTAAGCCAATCCTGCGATGTGAGAAAAATGAAGAAGATATGAAATCGAGTAAGAAGGATTTTTCGATTTGCTTTAATGAACCTTTAGTAGGTCAATGATGCAGAGAAAGATTTGGAGTAATATTTTTAAAGAAATGGTGTAACTCCAATTCTGATTTTACTTTAAAACAAATAGATAAAATCATTTCAAGTTCAAATAGTAAACTGTTGCTCAAGCTCATTTTATTTAAGATTTACAAGCAACAGTGCCCACATTTTTCACCAAAATCACTTTATAAAGCGAACTGCTGTCAGGTTTCTGCAACCAATTTTCTTCACACGAATATGCAAAATAAATGTGCTTCGCTTGACCCGAAAGCCTGTTGCCTTTGTCGTGGGAAATTCCGGCCAAAATGCAGGCGGCCTGTTGCCAAAAAAGGGAGTTCTTATAGACATTTTTTTGTCGGCCTCGCCGTTTTAAACGGCTCTTTCCGCTTCCGTTTGGCGTTACGTTTGACTTGCCTGCACGTAAATTTCGTGCCATTTTGTGCAAGAGAACTCGGTTGTTCTTCTCGCTAACTCGCTCAACTGCTTCACTCATGTCGGCGGTAAATTTTAGTACAATGCATATATAATCTTTTTCACTTATCTTTGCATAGTTTCCTTTTGCTGCAGCCCAACTTTTTACGGTCTGAGGTTAAAAGTAGCGTCATACATTTCCTACACCCAGCACCTCCAGCCACCCACAACTACTCGAGATTCGCGGCGCGTTGAGAGCTATATAATGAATGAAAATGAAAAGTTGGCTGGGAGTTGCAAAAGGTTGCGGCTGCTTCCACTCCTGTAAAAGGTGCACAGGCATCGCAATTTTTGCTGAATGGCTCGGTTTAGTTTTTGTACCTGTCGACAATCTTGTGACAGATTTATGGGTTAATTATTGTGAATGGCGCTGCGGAACTGGGAAAGAAAATGGGAGCCAAACGGAAATCCCATTCGTTAGATTACTCGTATGTAGCATTGAGATCTTAGTTAGTGAACTATTCAAACACATTTATCCGAAATTTTTGTAGTGAATGTTCATAACGTTATTGTGTTTTTATGGTAAGAGGACTTTAGCAAATATATGGTCAAGTGAATCCTCTCATAAAGCAAGTTGTTTTTCAATCTATAGTTTAACCAATAAAAATGAAGAGGAAAACCCTATCAAAAATCCCAATTCTAGTGAATAAGGTTCAAATGGATGAGCAGCATTCTTCCGATGACGACAATTCGGAGGGCTATGACTTATTTATGGGCGTTTGGGCACTGAGTGTTAGCCTTGGTAGCTATAACCACAATGTGGCCAAATCAGTTAAGTATATAAACGAAAACAATTGTAAATCGACCGAGCTTTACGAGCTGGTTTATCTCAATGATTTTCGGATAAAATTCGAGAAACTGCAAAATGGTACAGATCCTGAGGAAAAGGTTCTTCATGAGACTCGGGAAGAATTATTTATGCGCCTATACAAAGAACTTTCAGATTTGGAAACTAATGAAAACAAGCGTTGCGAATACCTGATGCTCTTCTGTGGACTCTTTGACTCTTTGTATCCAAAACTTAATGGTCTCAAAAAATCCTTTAGTTATCGTGTGGAACTCATTAATCGTTTGCAAGATCAGGCTCAAAACATTTTGCATTGTTTAGTAGGCAATACGCGTTCTAGTCTAGAAAGCAAAGTAAGATCCCCCGATTCACGTATTAAAATTTATTTGGAGTCAAAAATGTTTGAAAAGGAAGAAGGAGAAATTGATCAGCGTTCGAAGAAGGACAATTGTAACCCAATAATAGAAATTAACTCTGAAAAAACCTTGACCAAAAATATGGAAATTGAAACGACAAAAATTGAAGGTCATACATTTATTGAAGGCTGCAAGGAAATGCTGGCTTGTCCTTCAATGGGCTTCCGATTTGAAAAGGCCATCTTGGAAATTACTAATCTAAACATATTAACCAAAATTAAGGGATATCAAATAATTGAAGGTTGCAAGGGAGCAAATTCTTGTCACTTAAGAGGACTTCGATTTGAAAAGGACTCGTCTGAGTTTTCTTGTGGAAAAATTTCATCAGATTGCGAAACTTTTTATGTTTCAAATTCTGACGATGATTCTTGTGTAATTTTCAGCGATTTCGAAGAATCCACGGCAAGTGCCTCCTCCAACGTATCTTCTTATAATAAAAACATTCTGATTTCCTCAAATGATTTAATGAAAACTCCACTGTACGATTTGGATTATTTTTCTAAGGATTATTTTGTAAAAGAAAGGAATATTATTTCGTTCATCAATGACAAAACCGAAATAGATACTAATAATGATCCGATGGACAATTATACGGAAATTTCATCGCTTGATTTGGGAAATATATCTGAACCTGATGGTTGTGCAGACTCTATGAATTGTAATCCCAGAAAAGATCAAACAGGTCTTTCTTCAAGTAGTGCCGAATGTTCTTATTCTCTTAATACATTTGAAACTTCCATTAGTAACAACTCTGAAATTTCAACAATGGTTACAATCAAACATGGAAGTGATAAAGCCTCTAAAAATAATTGCCATCAATATTTTCAACTAAGTAAGCTAAAAGATTTGTATTTAGAATATAAAAAGTCACTTGAAACGATAGCTGGAGTTGAAGAAGAAAAATCTTCCTTAATCAAGAAAAATACCACTGAAAACGATGGCTTACAAAAAAATAATGTCAGTCCCAAAGAAAAATGGGAAGAAAAGGAATTAGAAACGGACGAAATTATTAATCAGCTTCGACAAGCTGTGAGTAATATTAAACTAAACTTATTAAAAGATGTCGATAAGTCCCTGGAACTCACTTTACAAAATCCCTTTCAAATTTCTTTAAATTTTGACGCACCCAAGGATAGTAAGGAAATGAATGTGCCAAATTTAGGTAAAATTACTAATACGGAAATGGATAACAATTTATTTGAGTTACCATATATAAATCAAACCACTGAAGCTAGTGTTATTAAAGAAATATTTAGTAGAAATAAGGCTAATTCTGATACTCAGAAAAAATCGCATGGTGATGAACCCAAGGATTTTAGAGAACCTTTACCTATCTTAATCATTGAAGTTCCTCAAGAAAGCCATTTAGCACACAATAATTTAAATAATAAAAGAGCTCTTAAAGAATCCAAAAAAAATTTCGAGGAGGAAGAAGATCAGGAAATGCTTTCACCAATTTTAAGTCAAATTGTACGCACCGTTAGTGACGTCAAAATTAATATTTTAAAGGAAGTTGATAAATCACTGTCCGAAATGACTTTAAAAAATGCTTCCGAAATCTTTCTAAGTCAACGGTGCGAGGAAAATCCTAAGAACAATTTGATAAGTTATTAGAGAACATCTGAAAAATTATTGTCAGCGGCGGAAAAAATTTTACTCCAGAAAATAAGCGAAGAATATGACAGTGAGGTTGATTCGGTAACGGAAGACGAGGAACTTTTACCAGAAGCTTTGGATTCAATAACACGAGAATCTGTAAATCCGGATATTAAGGAATCCGTACAACAGCTAAAAAATGCTGAGGATTTCAAAACCTATATGAATGCTCAAAATAATATAAGGCAGCATCAACGTCACATAATTGCGGCTCCTCGAGTTGTAATTAAAATCTTCAAATCAAACTTGTCTTATGAATGCCCACCAAATGATCCAAATTCTCCCGACTTCTATGAGCAATTGGATCAATTTTTTGAGATAATAGGTCAACAGGATTGTGGCCCTGTTTTAAATGCTGCCGTTTCTCAGTTTCGATATCGGTTAAGCAAGGCCATAAACAGCATTAGAAAACAAATGCACAGAGACTTTGAATTGGATGATTGGATATCAGCGGTCGGAAAATGCCAGTTAAGACAATTGCTCACTCGCGAGGAAAACCATGCTTACGAATCCCTGAGAAACCAGTTAAAAGACAAAGGTGATCAGGACCTTTCTCCCAAGAGTCGATTTACAGATGCCTTGCATGGAATGATGGGTTATGAGTCGCCACACTTAGTCTTATCGTCCTTCAGTGGCAGATTGCAGCTGAGATCCCCTCAGCATCAGGAGAGTATCAGTGAGTCCTTTTTGTTGGTGAGCCTTGGTCAATTGGGACACTTGCATCGGGAGATTCAGCAGCAGCTGGTAGAACTTGGCCAGCAGGGCGAAACTGCTAGCTCTCTCAGAAAAAGTCTGCAAAAGGACCTTCTTAATTTCAATAAGTTTTACGAGTTACAGAAAGAGAAACCATGTAGCCTGCTATGTTTGTATCACAGAAGTCGATATTTTAAGCTGCACTTTCAGTGGCTTCTGAATATCCTGTATAAAATTCAGAAAGGAAAGCATATTGTGATTGTGTTGTACGATGAATTGAGACGAAGAATTGGATACCAAAGAGGTTTAGTTTTTAATTGGTTAAAAACGGCAAGTCAACCACTAATTATTAAGCTTCGCAACTGGCTTGCTAGCGGTCAAAGGACTTCATCGGATTCCGAGGAATATCTTATTAAACGCATTTCAACCTCGGACATAGAAGATTTCTGGCTCAAACGCTATCGACTTACAGATTCCTTTTCAAACTTTTTTGACCCCCAACTCAGTGAAAAACTGATTATAGTGGGCAAGACTTTGGTGTACTCGAGTAAGTATTTGGGCATCACTATGGAATCTGTTCTGAGTAGCAAAGAACTTCATTTCTTATTACAAGAGACTTTCAATGATTTTTATAAGTACGGCGAACAGGAACAACTTTATGAACTTGTTGATAAACTGCATTCGGAAATATCTGGCACTGTTTTAAAAACTCTTCGGGAAAGTAAACTTAAGCCAGAGGATCTCTTTACTCACCTTCACAAATACTTGATGCTATCGGATATTAAGTTCCTCAAGGAGTTTATGGAAATATTTGAACCCGTTCTGGACGACCCAGCAAGTTTCTTTGATATTCAAAAGTTTAATCAAATGAAAAATCAAATGTCACGGATTCCGTCTCCGGGTATCCATATAGATAAAGACTTATCCGAAGGATCGAAGTGTTGGAATATTCTTGCCCTCCGCTGTAAACTGCCTAGTTACTGGAAAGCCCTTCTCGGTCAGAATGTTAAGGAATATGAGGCGATTTTCACCGGACTGTGGAGATTCCATTATGTCGATTATGTGCTCCGCAAAAAGATAGTTCGGCAGCAATTAAATTTTCGAGCCCGCATAGATTTTAAGTATTTCGAAGGCCTTAAAGAAATAGATTCCTCATTTGTAAGGCTGATCAACATTTTTCTTCTTGTAACGAAAGGTCTGAAAAACTATTTTCTTTGCGATTTATTGGAGCCTGCATTTGAAAGACTTCTGTTGGCCTGCAATCAGGCCAAAACCGTAGACGATATGCTGTCAGCAAATGTATCATATCTAAATACCATTAGGTTGGGCTCCCTGCAATCGGAAAATCTAGTAGAATCAAATCAGTACCTGGAACAGATTTATAACTTAATACTTAAACTCGCTCGTAAGCTGGAAAAATTCTTTAGACTCACTGAAATTTTACTGGACTATGTGACTGAAACTCGTTCTGGAAATACATATTTTTCAAAGTCCGATGAATACAGTAATCGGATTCTTGACTTTCGCTGGACCTGTAAAACTTACTTGGATATTATCAACGAGCTGAAAGATCAGTTTAAGTCGGTGATGGTTTCATTTTTGTGTACCCTACATTCAAGAGAAGAATATATGTTAAGGTCACTCGTTGAAAGGTTGGATCCCAACAGTTATTTCACAAAAAAAGGTGAACAATTGTCTTAATCAAATATCTTTGACTATTAGAGGAAAGTACAAGAGAGCAGCTTGGTTGCCAGAAGAATCCTTTTGTTATACAAGTATACTCTTTATATTTTGTATATCAACAATTATATATTTTGTGTACCTAATTCGTTAAAATATAATTTAATGATAAATAATAAATACATAAATATTTAAAATAAAAACAATGTACCACAATGCTTTTGTAAATAAACTTTTTAAAGAATTTTTTTTAGAACTGAAAGGCAATACTCAATAAAATAACTTTCCTACTCAATAACTTTTCTACACATTAAACTCCTTGCTAAAGTTTTAATTCGTTTAGGAAAAGAAAAAAGGCAGATAACCCTTTTTCGACGCTTTGTCTATAAATAAATTGGATTTTAATTGGAAATTAAAAATCGACTTAGCAATGTTTGCATTGTGCAGCAACTGGAGAAGCCTTTTGTTATGCAAATTTTCTTTATATTGCGGTCCCGTGTGAATAGGGACAAAATGGGAGGGATGATCCACACTGTCTGTCGGTTCATTTAAATTAAAGAAAATAATGGAAAATTTACTTTTTGGCTTAAGCTTTGGCCAAATGGAATTTGCGACACCAACGAGTTGGGAATTTGGCTTCGTCTGAATTGTAATTGCTCGCCGAAAATTAAATCAAGTTTGGTCCTTCACTTTTCATATTTTTATTAACAAGTTATGCCAACACTTTTCTAACTGCTCTCATCTGCATAACTTAATTTTCCGAGAATGCGCATGGAAATATCTTTGCGCTCGAATCTCTGCCAAAGAAATGAACAATGGCGAAAGGATGGCCCAGTCTTGAGCTCTTTTGTTATCTGACAAACACAGCTGGCAGTCATCTCAGCAAGTCTTCCACATATCAGCGACTGTGCTGGATGAATTATAAAGCACTGCCGCTTTCAAAAAACGCGCAAAAAAAAAATGTCAAGAAGATAATTGAGCCCAGGGAGCAGGCATTTAATAAACTTGATTGGTGCGACAGGAAGGAGCGACACTCGGGTAAAAGTTGACAAGGTCCTGACATGCGTTCGCTTTGAGAAAAAGTTAACTGGGTGACTTGCTCGACTGTTGATTAGGGAAATTAATTTCATAGGAAATTGCCTGCCTCCGATGCGTTTTCGTTGATAAACGAGCCATTTATTGTGTGTTTTGATGTGTGGGACACTCTCTCTTCGCATTGTTACATAAAAATAATACAGCAGCCGAAGGAAAAGGTTTAAAATAATGTATTATTAAATTACCTACTATGTGATTAGCTTTGCTCACTTCTAATATTAAACGCTCATTAATTTATCTGATATATCTGCAAAAGGTTCCAATTATCTAATTAACAAATAATCACGCGCTTTGTTTTTCACTTTAATTTTTGTTTATTGATTTAAAGCCAACATTGCAGACGATTTTATCTTTTACACCATCAACAAGCTCGTTCGCCACGTCAAATTAAACTATGAAATTTATTATTATGCCCGTTGACATACTTGAACTGTTGTAGGCAATAAATTTCATTACAAAGTCGCCATTTCTCCGCACCCCAGTCAATGTTATTGACAATTCGCTGTCACTTTTTCTCGGCCAAACACGAAGCAATTTATGTGGCCGGGACTGGGGTCTTTATGAAATACTTCTCATTACTGGGGGACCGTGGGGGAAATGGCCAACGGCCGATGGCTGGAACATATTCGAACTATTTTCATTTCAATTGCAAACGGTTTGGCGCAGAGAAATCAATTGAATTGCCATTTCACATATGAAATGGTCATTTGTCAATGGACAACAATTGGAGGGCGTGGTCGCAGCTGGTTTGGATGGTGGATACTCGATGCGGTCAGTCAAAATGGCCGCATAAATATGTCCTTCTCGTCCTGTGTGCGAACGATCTTCTGGCATTCGGCGCCCTCCATTCCCATTTCGATGGCTAAATTGTTGGTCGTTATTAAATTTCCGCTGCGTTGAGTTCTCATTTCCGTTTCAATGGCCAATGCAGCTGACCGTCGTTGAATGCTCAACGGATGTTCGCCTGCGAAATAGATATATACATATATATAGACTCGCATACGTGCATTATATAAATATTTTCGGTTCTAGCTGAATAAACAAAGGGGTGGGTGGCTGCGTAATATTCGATTATTGTTTTTATTATAATTTTTGAGGCCCTACACAACAAGCCCCATTTATCCCGTATTTGTGGCGATCAAAAAATTGATTCTACAATTGAAATGCCTGTTAGTATGTATGTACATACGAGTATATGCGGCTTTTTAGCCAAATTGAAACTAATTGAAATATGTGGATTGCAGGAAACGGCGAAAAGAGGAAAGTGGGCAAAACTTTAGCCATAAATTTTAATAAAACGGCATTTTTGGTATTTTCCTTTATTCCCGTTGTAGTTGCTTTTCTCTGTGTGTGTAATACGTTTTATTGGCATTACGTATACGCCGCGACCTCATTTATTGTTTCGTCAGCATAACTTTACATTACGTTTTTTGTGTTTGCTCTTTAGTTTTTACTTAGTTCTATACAGTTATTTTATGTATGTTGCAAGATATAACATTCTTAGTTGATTATAATACTTTGTTTTTTTAAGTATTTATTGGCGGGCTTAATTACATGTAAAATTCCTTTAAAAGTTAACGTTCCACTAAAAGACCATTAAATGTTATGAGTTTTAATGAAAATATAATGCAATGCCCATCAAAGGGACTCCTTATTTTCGGTCTCAGGAGTCTCTTTTTATTGTTCGCTTTCCTTTGTGGCTTTTGTGTCTTGGCCAAAAAAAGAAGAAATAAATAACAAAATTATTCAAAATTATGGCCAACTCTGGGCGCCTCTTCCCCCTTTCGACTTAACCCTTGTGTTTGTGTGCGTCTTATTTTCTTCCGTTACATTTTTACACCCATCCAAGTTTTTATTAAACCCAGTCCCCGGCCTTTGGAAAGTAACATCTTAGAAAACGCATTTAAAAGGCGCTAAGTAAATATTAAAATTTCTGTCAGGGGCAAACGTGCGAGTTAAAAGAGCGAGCTTAGGCCATTTTATTATTATTATTTGCCCGACTAAACAAAGCCAGTTAATGGCTTCAGCTGCCGGACAATGGTGGTTTATTTATGCCCCTCGCTAATGGACAGCGCGGAATCGCTGAAAGAGTTTGCCTCGGTGGATATTATTTATTATCGCTGCCACCGCTGCTGCGAACAATAGATGTAATATTTATTCATTTATTTATTGATTTATGGCCTGGCATTTAAATCAAAATCAGGGCAAGAATGCTGAACATTTTATCAATTTGATAAGCCTATTTATTATGATGTTTTCACTTTTCACCGCTGAAGTGGCGTTGCCCCGGCTTCGATGAAATTTATGCCTTCACTGACCACAAAAGATTCATCTTCATTTCATCTGTCCAGGCCCGACTATAAGTTCCACCCCTCCAACCCGCCTCCCATTGCCCAACCACCCACGGTTGATTAGTTGATGACACTTTGTGCGAAAGACTGAACCCTGCAACTGCCATATACATACATATATGTATGCTTGGGTGCACTGAAAAAAATACAACCACCAACTTAACAAAACTTAATTACTTTCAAATAAGGATACAATTTTTTTTTATATATCTTTATATCTAAATATTTGTTGTGTAAATATTTTATCTGCTTAATTGTATTTTGAATAAATGATTAAGAAAATGTATATTTATCTGAAGGGTAATTAATGTTGTAATTTAATTTCTACATAATTAAAATCTTAACTTATTTTTGCAGTGTATATGTGTACATATGCGCACTTCCTCTATCCACAACTTGGCCAAGGCGATATGTCTCGCTCTGCGGTGCTTGTGGCTAATTTGATAAATATGCGCGCGTTTATTCAAATCAATCAGAGTCAGACGCCGCGGGAGTTGCTGAAGGAGGGTCTTTGAACAGAAAGGACAAGTCATCGGCAGCGTCTTCACTCGACTTACCACCACCTCTGATTATCTCCACTCCTTCGTCCTCCTCTGTGTGCATCTTGTGGCATATAAATTTCAGCTGTTTTCCTCGAAGCACACACACATAATCATTCGCACACACGAGCTTCTCTCTGAGGAGATTTCATTAATGTGCGGTTAACTATAATGAGGCTGGTATATAGAAGCACACCATGGGGGGATTTCTGGTTAAGTTGGGTTAACTGAAATCCTTCACGGTATCAGTTAGTTCCTAAATGGGACGATTTATTGTGACGGTACTTTAAATTAAGTGAGCTGATTTTGCTTTGCTTTTGTAAATTTTTATCAAGCACTCCTTTTTGGAAATTTCGAAAGGTGTTGTATCATAAAAATTTTAAAAAAATCGGATAAAAAATAAAAACTTAGCTAACGATGCAGCATATTAAAAAATAAAAAAACAAACTTGTAGAGGTATGCCACTATAAAATCTGATTAAAATAAGGAAAGTTATTGACTTAGAATCAGTGAATTATGGTAAATTTTCAAATACCTATATACTCATATACTTTCATCTTTAAATTTAGTTTAAAAATGTATTATATTATTGAAAACTCATTGGAAGAAACCTTTTTAAAGAGGTAACTTTAAACCTATTTTCCATCTATCAAGAAAATCTCGCTTGCAGGTAACCACAAACCAGTGTCCTCCTTTGTAATACCTCGTCTAAATTAACTGCCCCACATTTGCAACTTCATTTGAAGGGGTTGTTCGCCCAGCCACATGGCGCATATGTTGGGAAAAATTTGTGCGGTGTGACCGCAATAAATCACAATTGAAAGTGGCAAAAGTAAGTTGACTCTTAAATCACATTGGGCCAGGGATGGCATGTTTGTGGGATGCTCACGCACATTTTGCCTAATGAGTTCGGAAATCTAGAGAGTCAAATATATTACAGTAAATATAAACTAAGCAAGGGCTTCCGAATCTAACAACGTTTACCTGCAAGAGGGCAGACAATCAGCATAAACTCCAAACGCAATCAAAATGCTGAAATAAACTTAACAAATCCCGGGTAAAGTTTGTTGTTCTTTTTCCGCTGCACATTTCCTCCACCTGTCAGCGGGTAAAATTTGTTCTCCATGTTTAGTTCGCCCACGGTTGACTTCGCATTCGCTCCCCACAAAATTTTCCACTGCAATCGGAGCGGGAATGTCTTCGGTGCACA